GATAAGATCCTTGAAAAACCTAGCCCACAAAATTACTGAGAAGAGCCTGGGGTTTACAAAATGCCTTTAGCAATTTATACTTTCCAGGCAACGCAGTGGTGGGTTTAGTTTCTCCCTAGCAGAAAGCCATCAATTCATGATATTCTAAAGTGTTCTCCTAGCTAGTGACAGGCTTTTATTATCCCAATTCTTAAAGTGAAGCCACTGGCAGAGTTCTTGGGAATTACAAAGTTGGGGATTACTTAAGAACTCTTAAGGTGCCTATCCCAAATATCAAAATTGTCCATTTAGTTCCATAAATTAGAATATGGCTCAAAACAAAAAAAACCCAAAAAACAAACACATACCACGATCACAAAATTCAGTCATAAGGACTGGCAACTTAGATAGTACTTTGAAACATACACAGCTATAATTATACTTATGGAGATGCTCTGCCCTGCTCAAAAGATAGATAAAATAGACGGCAATTCTAAACCCATTTACCGAGGAGTATATCCTGCTGAACACTGAGGGATTTTACTTCTGAGTAAATATCCTTAAGGTGGTTTTGTCATTGTTTTGAAAAATGGAAAGTTTTATATAGATTTTTCCAGTGGATAAGAAAAATAAAATAAAAGGCTGTGGATCTCTTCCACAGCATCTCCAGATACATCAGGGATATAGCGGTGCCTCTTAAGAGAAAAGTGGCATTTAATCTATGGTTTAGAGCAATTTCAATTTCAGAGTCATTTTAGAAGACTTCTCATGATGACAGAAGGAATCTAACAACTAACCTGCCAGTTGTGCCACAGTTACACACTTCATAAATATTACACCACTCCTACCTGCACTTTGGCGGGCACAGCCTCAGGGACTTGATAGTTCAACTCATCAGCTGTTTGCTGAGATTTCGGCAACAAGAAAGGGTAGGAAAGGGACCTGTATTTGGATTTTATGATTTGGGAAAAAAAACACCCCCCCCCAAAAAAAAAAAAAAAAAAGGAATTAGAAAACATATATTGACAGACTTGCAAAGGTTCAGACTTAACACACATCCTGCAAATAGAATGTTCTCATCCCTCAACATGATAACTTTCTTCTTAATTTTGGAGCCCCACCAGCTGCTTTTCAGCAGGTTCAGGGGGGCAGATGGAAGCTTGGGATTCTTTGGATTCCTAGTGCTTCTTAACCTGTCCAGCTCTTCATACTCTTTTCTAAAATTCAGATTTTCTAACTCAAAAGAGATGAAATGGTTGTTGTACTGTTTCTGAAGCAGGGAACTGAATACAGGTAGTCCTTGTTTAGCAACCACAATTGGGGCCGGCAACTTTGTCGTTAAGTGAAGTGGTCACTAAGTGAAACTGCGACTGTGCTTATGATCTTACTTTACAGGCCTGCAAAGGTTGTAAATGTGAGGATTGGTCATAAAGTTACTTTTTCATTATCACTGTAACTGCGAATAGTTGCTAAAGGAGGCAGTCACTAAATAAGGACTACCTGTAATTCTATAGGCCATTCCATTGTCTCAGCTACACCTGTAGATTCCAGTCCAATGCACATTTGGGGGGACAGGGCAGAGTACGCTGTATTAGATACAATCTGAGCAAACCTGCACAGGATTGCATTGCATAGTTCTGAATTGTATGTTAGGGATCTTGATAATTACTGAGAATAGCAGAGCAATTTTTGTATTTGATAAAAAAGAGCAAGATAGCAATTATCAGTATGGAAAACATAACAAAGGCAGAGATGAATGTATACATTATTTTTAATTTTTGTTATTAAATAACACAACTTTGTCCCCAAACAGAACCATTTTAATTCACAAAGTCTGAACCTGAATGTTTAAAATCTGGATGTTTGAGGGGAAAAAAATCAATTTTTTCACATTTCATTTAATCAGATATTTTCAATTTTAAATTCAGTTTGATAAATAATCAGTTATAATTTTATAGCAAACTTTTTAAATCAGTTCTGTGAAGTTTCAATGCCAGGTCATTTATCCAATTTTTAAGATGGGAGATATATCACTTCCAACAAACATGATGATCATATTAGTTGGCTAAGCATTGATTTAACTTGTCTGAAATTGTGTATTGTAATAGACTAAATTCTTAAGTAGTGTAGGCCATACAAATTAAACAAATGTATGTGTTCTTTCTGTATAAAATATCTTGCAAATATGCTCAAGAATAACTTTTGCATTAAGTACTAGAATTTCTAATGAGCTTTTAGGTGGCTTCTTCAAACTGGTCAAAATAGGTTCAAGGCTATTGTAAATTACAGCCAAGAAGAGTAGATACTTTGCTTATAGAAATAAGAAAATGGAATTCTCTGCCCAGCACTTCATTTTGTGCTCACAGACAATCACACTCCAACCCTACACATGCAGTTGAATCATACAATAGAATGGAACATGCCAGTTTAAACTACATTTTGGGGTGGCACTTTTGAATGCTTCTCTGTGTAAACACAACTCTTCATGAATCAGCTATTCATGAAAAAAAAAATGAGAGCAGCTAATTTCTGGTTGTCCCTATCTACTTGCAGAAGTGTTTCCTTACATGTAGAATAGCATTAAAATATTTATTTATTCATTTATTCATCCATTTATTTGATTTATATAACCACCAATCTCACTTTTATGTGATTCTAGGCAGCTATGATTCCCTCACTTGCCATCTGAATTGGTTCAATCATTTTCCCATCGTGTTTTTCCACTTCATTTTGCTTGCTTACAGACTAAGAACTCAGAAGATCCCAACATATGTCTCAGCAGTTAACTTGAGAAACAAGGATTAGTTATGCATGCTCAACTCCTTAGTCAAAAGAAACCCACCTTTGTGAAGTTCCAACGTTGAATGAAGTGCCGAGCTACATCTCGCGCAGCTTTGCCATGCACTACAGAGGCAATGTCGTGCCACGGCATCCTTGGCATGGTGTAGCGATCAATGAAATCTAAATGGGAAACAACAAGAAAACAAAATGTCAAGTGCCAAAGAACCATCAGCTACTCCTGGATATGCTACCAACAGGCACCTGGTTGGCTATTGTGGGAAACAAGATATTCACCCTCAGCCAGCAAGTATCCTTATTTGCACAAAAACTCACATACTCCAAATGAAAACATTCCACAAACTCACGGACCCTCACTGACTGTTCAGATATGATTCTAACTTGCAATGGTGCTTACCAGCAAAGGGTTTATCCAGCTGAACCCAGTCTTTAAAAACAAAGTTGCAATAATCTTTTCCATGCCAGAATCTAGTTTCACCAAGAAGCTCTCCAACACCTGTCTTCAAACTGTGGACTGAGCCTTTACCTGTTCCAAACAATCAAACACAAAACAGCTGCTATTAATAGTAACCTCAATTACTGCTGTGCCAACATTTAATCTTCTTTAAATTAATACCAATCATGAAGAAGAGTGCAATCTCAAAGCACTGCAAGCAGAAATGGGATTAGGGGCCTTTTTCTTTCTTTTTAAAATCTATCTATCTACCTACCTACCTACCTACCTTAAAAAAGCCTCCAACATGTGTTAATGTCCCATGGCAAAGAGCTTTCTCCTATTTTTTTCTCTTTCTTCTAAACCAACAGTTAAGTGATCACTCTAAGAGAGAAGTGTGAACAGGAGCTACATTCATGCTCCCACACCCTCTAAAGCATCTTTTAAAAAATATTTTGGAAGCCTGGCACACCCCTAGAGACCAGTACAGTAATAGTTGCTCTTAGGAATGAGGAGACCTAGTTCCAAATTTCCACTAGATCATGAATCTCACTGACCTGGAGCCACTTAATCAATCATATGGTTCTTGGGAAGATATAAACCTCATCATATGGTTCTTGGGAAGATATAACGAAGGAAAGAGTAGATAACATTTTTGTTCCCTTGAGTTGGACATACAGCATATGTAATAATCTGAGTGTTATTCATACTGCTACTTTAGGTTTAGAATCTTAATTAATTGATTTCATCAACATATTTATGTACTTTTACCCTACCCCATTGTCAAAGTTTTCATGGAGAATCTTAATGACTTGATCAATCGACCTACCTAGCTGCCTACCTTTCTGCTGCTCAAGTTTTCCCTATTTCATGGAGAAACTTAATTAATTGATTTTATCTGAACATCCATCCATCCATTCATCCATCCATCCATTTATTTCTATACCACCCTGTTGCCAAAGTTCTTGACAGCTGTCTTGGAAGGGTTTTGATCCTGAAAGATGGCATAGAAATACAATAAGTAAAGAAATCACTCACATGAATCACTGTCTACACTGCTCACACTATCTGCATGATGCAAGGCATGTCGATGGAGCTGTCTGTAGATGCTGAATCTGGCAAATTTCCTGGGTCTCCCTACTCCTTTCATTTTTGAAGCTTCTGGGGCATCGTCACTGCCTCCTTGCAAAGGTGTGTTCGTTGGAGGCTCCATCTGAGGCTGAACAGTTTCAGCTAAAGACTTAGGGCACAGAAAGGACAAATAAGGTTCAATTTTAATAAGTATGTATGTATCTGTCTTGGAAAGGGTGGTTGTAAATAATTGACACTGATTTGATGGTATGTAATCAATTTTAATCAACATGTCTGTGTGTATCTAGAAAAAGTACAGCCCTTTTTGCATATCCCTACAGAAGAGGGTGTATCAAATCTGCAGCATCTGTAAAAGCCATAACAACATCAAAATGAGGACATATACTATATCATGATGTCGTAATGCAAATGGGACAATTGACAAATGTGTAAATCATGTCATTTGCTTAATGTCATGACATACTTATCACTTGCTCTCCTCATCTCACCATGGATGCTTGTGGATCAAATAAATAAAAGCTGCTGCCCATGGAAAACTAATGAGTTATGGAGAAGAGCCCTCATATTTCCATTAAAAAATGATACAGCCCCCAAGAACTACACTATATGCTGTTTCTGAAAAACTGGATTGGTTTAAAAGGAATGCATGGAATGAACTGCAAGAGAAACAGAAGTAAACATCCATGCAAATTCTTCAGCTTGGATACTACCGAGTATCCAGAGTCCAGAGTCTTGTTTTGTGAAATGGGTGGCTATATAAATTGGACAAATAAACAAAAATAAATAACTAAAATAGTACAACCATTTGCAGAATTAGTTTTAGTTCCACGTATTCAGATTCAGAATCATTGTGTTATCAGAAACAAATATTACAGGAAACACTTCTGCAGCAATTTAAATCAGAGTTCTCTTTAACAGATGCAGTCTGGATTCTGAGCTACAAGTCACTGGGTGTCTCAATACGTCTAACAGTTGCAGCCTCTACAAAATGTCTTCTGGGAGACTGAAATATCTCCAGCTAGTTCACAACCTCAGCAGGTCCATAGAGTGATGCTGATGTAATGAACAAATGGTTTCATGTGCATGAGTGTCTGCAATTGTAGCAGCTCAAAACAAAAAACAAAAAACAAAACACTGCAAGGAAATAAGAGACAATCTGGCACTCTCCAATTCTGGTGGGATCACAACTCCTAGACTTCCCACTCTAGCATTAGTCAAACATTTGGCATTCTAGGAAATATAACAGCTAACGTGATCTGAAAAAAGTTGCTTGGACTGAGGACTTGAATACTTGGGCTTTAGAAGACCTGGAATGTCCCAACTGATTCTGCAAAAGATATTCAGGTGGAAACGACACTAGAGGGTGTCTGCAATCCACATTAAATGAGCTGGTTAGATGGGAAAACAGTGTTAGCAGTGCAGGTTATAAGGCACCAGAAACTGGATGTAGGGGATCTTGTTTGATAGATACATCCCTTCATAAAATGACATCCCACAAGCTGAGCCTGCTAGAAATCTTAAACCAATTGCCAGGCACCTTCACTGACCCGAGCAGCTGTCTAAATGTCAATCTGAAACAAGGTAGGAGAATTACTTTCTCAATTTCCTGTTGGTTATCTGAAAGACACAATTTAAAAGGAAGGGAAAATGACCTATAAAATAGCTGTATGTATTTATTTTACATAAACACAACATTCACTTCAAAGGATTCAGAGATCAGTCATGTGGGATAAAGGAAGGGTTACCTGCACAATTTAATTTGGATGGGGATATTAGTAAATTAACTTTAGAATCTCTGCCAAAAAAAAAAGCACATGGTCACACCAGGTAGGTAAAATACAAAAACAATTTTGGGAGAAAAAAATCAAAATCTGATAGAAGGCATTCCACATTCCTTTGCCTTTCCTTTCTGGCCTCTTATCAGTTAAAATCAAAGTAAGAAAGGACTACAAAATAAAAAGTGTTAGAGTTATAAATTCCTTGCTGTTGCTTAAATCAACAGTTCCCTGGAACCTGACAGAAAGGTTGTAAAAGAAAATGCGGCACAGATATTCCAGGTATTTGTGAATATGATTTTACCTAGATAAATTTACGTTGGGAATGTATACACTGATAAATATGTTTGGTTTTTTTTAATATAATTTTATTAAGGATTTTAATTACAATAGTAAAAACTAATACAAACTAAAACTTAGAGAAAGAAAATAGAATGGAAAGAAAGAATAGAAAGTGCAGGGAAAAAAAAGGCGAAAAAGAAAAGAAAAAATATAATAAAGAAAAAGAAATAGATAAAGAAGTGATTTCCAACCTTCAGCACAAGTATAAACAAATTTAATAACTCTTCACTCCCTATAAGTTTAAACAGATATCTCTTCATCCCATATCCCATCCCTTATCTATAAGCAAATCCATAAAACATCAGTCCTAATTGATTGTTAGTCCATAAAGGGTTGCCAGAACATGGAAGAAAAATCTTATTTTAACCTTGATCAAATAAACCAAGTTTAGATTCCTTCCTTTTACTTCTAACAGCCTTAATCTTTAATTCAATCCAATTAAATATTGTTGTAGGATTTTATTTCTTTTCAATTGTTCTTTATCCCATCGCACAGATTTATTCAAGACTTTAACAAGCCTCTTTTGTAGATCTAATAAGAAAACATGTTCCAGGTCATTCTCTTGATTTATCATTTGTATTTCCCTTTTAATTTTTAAAACTTCAGCCATTCTTTTGTATATCCAGTAAAGTGTCTTTTCCAAATAATTCTCTTGGCCTGTCATTTGTAGTTCCACATCCTGTACTTTTTCTATCTTGTCAGATAAAATTTGTTCCAGATTTGTTATTCCTTCATTAACATATTTTAGACATAGTCTATCCATAGAAGCAGACATCATTACTGATGGTGTTGATATTGTAGTTACTATCTTCTGGCTCCATTCTTCAAAAATCTCCTTTAATGTTTCTGATGTTATAAGGTTTTGTGTCATTTTGAAAGTCCCAGTATTAACCAACATCAAGCATGTATTATTTTTTCTTCTGCTTAACATCTTTAGTCCCCTCTAGTGTCCAGTTTCTAAAATCATTTCTTATCTTTTATTATGACTTGCAATTGCCAGGTAGCCAAAATAAGTCTGTTTTCCACAAGAAGTTGTTTATTTTTTTTATAGTTAATTCCAAAATCTTACAGTAAAAGTTAACATTCCAGATTTATCTGGACCCTTAATCTGTTTAAAATCTCTTAGATCAAAATCTTATTTAGCTTTTTGCTGTTTATTTCAAATTCTTTAAGTTCTTAAGTTTGTAATTAATTTTTCTTTTGTTCAGAGTTGAAGATAAACTCACCCGACTAAGACTTTTCAATCTTGTCATCCTGAAGGTCTCTAATAGCTTTAAAATAGTTAATGGGTAATTTCCTAAAGTGATTAGAAAGTCAGGTTTACAAACTTAGTGTTCTTTAAAAGGCTTCGCCGTGGTTGTGAGCAAGATGGCTGATCCTGTTATCTCTTGGCACTCAAACCTGCAGAAAACCACTATCCCTCAGTCTCCTCATGAGGAGCAGCCACCTGGAGCACATGTGGGTAATCTCCTATCCTCTCCTTATCCAGAGAGGTTCCAAGGAACTGGTTTACTTGCTGGTTCCTTAGTCTTTGCTGAGCCTGTCAGCTCTGCTTTTGCAGAGCCATTTTCAGTTCACCATACCTCCCCTGGAAGTCCTACATTGTTAAATATGTTTGGCATAAGAATATTTTACAATTTTGGAGTGAGGAGGGTATTATCTCAGGAATCAGGTCTTAAATATGTCAGACAGAAGATGTAATCGATTAAATAAATATTAGATACAAAAGAATATAAAAGGAATATTGATGTTGAATCCACCTTAGCTATTCAAACCAGTAAGATCAGTTGCCCCTGATCATTTTGTGGGCTCATATCTTCATGTAGAAATTATAATTATTTTATTCTGCAAATGTTGTGTCACACAAAACCAATTAACTATCTTTTGATATGATTTTGGCTTGTTTTCACCTGTAACACATTTGGGTTTGGTAAAAAAGAAAAACACAAGATCCTTTTTGTCTCATAAAAATATTTAAAGATAACTGCTGATCATCTAAAACCTTAAGACCCAGGTCTCAAGGGAAGTTTGACGGTGGACTTCAAAAGCCGCAACTGTTTCTGGGCTAAGAGTTTAGCTAAAATAGTGACCGCAAGGGGAATATTGAATGTGGATCAATTATTCACAAGTGCAGTTGGTAATTCAAAAACATAAAAGTGAAAGTCATAGGCCCAAGCAAGACAAAACTCTCACCTAAAAATGATCAAAAATGTATGGACAAAAAGTGTTTTGGTCTAATGCCAAAAAAGCTAGCACCAGGCAAGGTTTCTTGGGGAGAGCATTACAAAGACAGAAGAAGAGTTTTTGAGGAAGCCTTCAACACTTGAGCAGAACTATGTGGGTATTAACAGAAATATATTTGATATGAGCATTCCCTGAATCAGCTGAATGTGGTACCAATCTCAGAAGCAGCTTCTCTGACTTATGTGGCCCCACATCACCAATTTGTGCTCTTCCCTTTTTTTTCAGGCTGCAGAAATCATACTTACAGAAAGGTTCACTGAAGACTCAGATCTGGCCGCTGCCATACGTTTTACACTGCCCACATCTGTCAGTCGGTGCTCATTGTCATCCCACCTGCCATACGCCAAGTCTATGCCCCCAACGAAAGCGATGGACTGGTCAACGATCACCAGCTTTTCATGGTGGGCCCATAAATAAACAGTAGATGACACATGATCAGGATGTCTCATTACCTGAAAAGGGAACACTGACCTTAAAATCAAGTGGGTTACAGATAAAGCTTTTAATGGTGGAAACCTTTGGTGATCAGAAATTCCATACAGATAAATAAATATATGTGATTCCCTTTTTTGAGCAGGCTTTCATCTATTGCATTCAACCAGCATGCTACCACAATTGAATAATCATTCCTAAATTTAGGAGGGCTTTCTCTTTGGCTAGATTTAACACCCTCTTGACAGCCATCAGTGAGGGAATGTACTGGGGCATTCCATTTGAACAAAGATTATGCTCTCATGGAACAGGAGCAACTTCAAGTCATTTTGTACTGTATTATCCCTGATTTATGTCTGGAGTTATTATCCTTGTTTCTAAATAAATGCCCTGATCATTCAGATTCTTTTTAACTTTGTCTATTCGTGTCTGCCAAGTTGACACTGTCTCACTGGATGCAGCCAAACACTATTTTGCTATCTGTAGCATTCACTATAACATAACAATAAAAAGGTTTTAGATATCTTTTTGCTCAGACAAGCTGATTATTTATTTTTATTTCAATTAGTTACGTTACATTTTTACAGTTTTGTATATTGTTGTTTATGTTCACTACTTACTATTTGGGAATAGCATGTTTTATGTATGTTTCAGTATCTATTATCCTTGGATTTACTTTGATCTGGTCTATGACTGTAATAAAACTGAACTGAAGTCTGTGATTCCCTCTAGATGAATGAACAGGACCAATCTTCTGGCAAGGCCAAAATGACAGAATGGAAACTACCTTGACTGTGTTATATCTTTCTGGACAGTGCTAGTAAACATACTAGAACACGTTTTTGAGTACTAAAGTATTATTTCTTCCTATGTCAATCCTGAAGATGTTTTGTGAACAGAGCAACAGTTATTCTACAGAAGTCACAGCGTCGGCATGCAGCAGCTGTACCTGAAAATAAGCAGTCTAATTGCCGCAAAGGACCCAAATACCTTAATGTTGGGATGCAGATGCATTAGTGTCCTCTTGGTGTATTCGCTGTTGATACCCAGAGCAAGCTCTACCTCTTTGTAGAGCATCACGAAGATTCTCACTCCTTGTTGCTGTCAGAAGACAAAACACCAGTCAGAATCATGCATGCAGAATCAGCTAAAAACTTCGTGATTGCTCCCACCAATGACCAAAGTAGGCAGGACTGCCTAGATACATGGGTAGAGCCAAGATTTTTTATTTTTTCTGGACGGGGGAGGGGAGGTGCAGAGTTCACTGTTTTAAAACTTAGGCACAATCTATTTTACAGCTTGAACTACAATTCTCACATTTTTCTTTCCTGAAAAGGGCAAGAACATCTGATGCCAATTTTCAGGAAGCACATTGTGTAAATTTGGTGAATCAGCTGAAAAAAGGGGGATGAGAAGCCTCTTGGTTGCCCACTCTTAAGCAAAAAAAAAAAAAACTAGGAAGAAAATGGACTTGTCATTAAGTGCAACAAAATACACATTTCATTTATTGGTGTTTGGAATTTATGAGCTACACCATGGCTTGTACATCTGCTTCAACCAGCCATGGAAGTTTGATTCAGGCTCCCCATCTTTTGAAGTGGGGCAAGTTGGTTCCTAGAGAAGGATCCCTTTGGTGGTGGCCCTCTGATGTGGAATTCCTCACCAGAGGGCTTCTTAATTTCTCACCTTCCAAAAGAAAATAAAAATACTTGGGCAGGGTAAGTATGCTGCATTGCCCAGATGTTATTCTCCATATATTGTTTTCTGGTTGACAACTTTTTTATAATTTGACGATATTTTGATTGAGATATTGTTAAGTGCTATTGATGACTAACATAAAAAAGAAAGCTGACATGAGCATCTTTTTCTTTAAGAATTGAATAGGTTCCAGAACCTAAAACGTATTCAATGTACGTAACTTCAGAATTCAGATATTATCCACATAGCACAGAACTTCAATAACATCTTTAAGGTTAGATCTTTTCCCCTCCCTCCCTTCCTGGATATGCCAGAATTCTAGATTCTATGCCCAATAATAAAAACTGTATGTGGCTAGTACCTAATCCTTTATCTGGAAGTATTCTTGCCTACCTCGAAGAAAAGACAAAGATGGAGCATGGAAAATGAGAGGGATCCTCCTGGGAAGTTTGAAAAGGCAAAGATAAATCTGATAGGGGTCAGGAATCCTCATACAGAACTAAAGGAGGTATCTACAAATCCTTACAAATTTGTCTTCTGATGAATGCATGTTTTGTGAGCAGACCAGCTCTCCTTCCTGTACTAGGCATTTCATGAGTGTCCCCAGAATGAGCTGTCAAAATTCCAGATGAGCTCACTCCTCCAAAACACTGGACAGCTGTGCTCCATAAAATGTTCCTGCTCTTTCTATGCTCCTTTGATGCTGGTAAACATTATTCTAATCTAAAACAACCATGAGACTAAGCAACACTGATTATGGTTAAACAAATCTCCTGCTAAACTCAAAACTAAAACTAAAAAAAGTCACCAGATCTGAAGGCCAAGCCACCCAAGAGACTTCAGTTTTGACATCATCCTTTCTCCTTTTGCCACAATAAAGTGCTTGTCATGTTTGCCAGAAGTGCATAAATGGTTTGATCTCCATCCCAAGGCAATATTCTAGGAAGGGACCATCCTTGCCATAAAGGGAATAATCTTTTTTGACCCAGAAGAACTCAAAAAGTACCTTGACAGCATTGGCAAAAGTCTGTTATGAAAATGATAGAAAGAATATAGGTCATTAAAGTGATCTGTCACCTCAAGCTCAATAACAGGGTTTGACCAACATAACAATAAAGTAGGGGCATATCCAAATGATATGCTCTCTCCTAATTAGACCTATATTCTTGGAGAAGATCAATGCCTACCATTAGCAATTTAATGAGTATCCATTTTGAATGCAGACAGATACAATAAATCACATCACACCGTGATATCATCTCTCTGGAAAGTCAATTTATACTATCTCTGCTGTTGCCATTGAAGTCCCTTGGAATAGGCCATAAAAGATAACCACACAGAATGCAGCTGGCACTAGATAAAAACCCAAACTCCCTCCAGTTTGCACTTAGAGTTTCTTGAGAGCAGTGGACAGAAAACATAGAATGAACGTGTTCAAAGTGAACATGGGGAAATGCTCCAAGATTGAACAGCATTGCTGGAGTCACCTACAGTCAAGGAGAGGTTCAGGAAGGAGGAGTTTCCTGTCCTTGAAAATATTCAGGGGGTTGGGAAGCAGGGGCTGACACAGAGGTCAAGGAAGCAATGAAAATGGGACAGGAGGTCATGTGAAAGGGAGATGGACCTGAATAAGAACAGCCCACTGAAGCACATTCCTCTCCACTTCTGAACCTCAATCCAGGAAAAGTTATGAAGCTTAAGCAGTGAGCACTGGGGTTGTAGTAACTATAAATCCAGCTAAAGATAAACACTTCAGTTTTACAGGAGCTTAACGCAGCCCTTGGTGGAAGGCAGGCAGGCAGGCAGGCAGGCAGGCAGGCAGGCAAATGCTGGGTTCACATAACACAATGGTTAGTTTATGCTTCAGTGTGTCATGAGAATCTAAGCAATTGGGTTATTTAAATAACCACAGATTAGGATGTTGTAAAAACACAATCAAAGACAGGCTAAAACACACAATACATACATACTGAAAGACCTAACCCACATTATTTTCACTAATACCCAAATGCCCCACAATTAAGCAGACAATATACTCCTGACAAAACATGGGGAAAACCTCTATTGCATCTATGGCATCTGAGATACTATCTGGATACTAGTAGAAAAAATAGAAGGAAGCTAATCTGGAATTTACCACATAAGTCGCTGATTATTTTAACTGATTACCAGACTGATTCTGTTTTTTTCTGCAGACTTAGCACAGTAGTGTGAGCCATCATCCAAACAGCCCAAATACTGCATTAATCCAGGCCATGAGGTTAGTTTATGGTTCAGTGTGCTGGGCAGTTCAAAACCTGGGTTAACTAAATAAACCATCACTCAGTTATCTATAACAGCATTCATCCAACACACTTTACTTGGTTATACAATTAATCCATTTTCTAAGTTCACACATTAACAAATAAATCAGTAAGCGATCTAACAGCACATTGTACAAATGTATCTACTACATCTTCACCTGACTTGGCTAAGAGTGTTGAGTGAACACAGCCAGTATGTCTTATGGATACAACCATACCTTGAGTCCCTCCCTGAAAAATGGCGATATCTCTGTCCTACCACCTTTCACAGCTTTGTAAGGCTTGAAAAATACAGCACACTTACAGCCTTCCGCCTCAAAATGCAGTCTAATCTCCAGCGATTCCCTTCCACCACAGGCCGCTTCATGAATATTTCGGGGCTCAGCCTGTAAAAAAGGTAGAAAAACAAGTAAGATTGGCTGAAAAATACACACAACCATGAGCATTTCTCAGTGGCACTGCTGCCCACTTTATTGCACTTCGAGTCCTTTGAATCTGAAATGGACATGAACAGATTCCCCAACCCACACAGTTAAATGAGAGAGTCTACCAGCAAAGAAGACATCTATTCATTTTTCCTTCTATTACAGTATAAAACAACAACCTCCTTAAGACTGAAAGTCTTTTTCCAGCATTGCTGATCCTCCCCATAGAAACTGTAACAATTTGGTGTGGAAAAATCTTTCTGTTGCCTAGGTTCTAGAGACTATCCTTTGTCTTACATATTTTATTCCTCATTCTAAAAGAAAGAATTTCAAAATTCTTGGGGGGGGGATCAAAACAAAAAACAGATTTGGAGGGAGAAACTCTGCTTTTATTCTCCTTTTTTTAATTCTTTTTTTTCCCCCCAGAGCTGTAAGAGATTGCAAGGAGGCTGAGAGAGAAATGGGAGGAATGCTAGACTGACACAATCCACAGATGGGAGAGGAATTAGGTAGCAGTTGGTCTCATCAATAGCAGCTCATCATCCCTGAGCCGCAGAAAGCTTGGGATGAAGATTTTCAAAAAATTCAGAGATACCACCATAATGAACTCACTAATCGAACAAGGCTGCAAATTCCTATTGTAGTTTCCAAATTTCCATATCCTACTATTATGGAATCCTTGCATGAAAACACCTAATTGAAGTCTGTGTCATTTTTCCTTCCTTGATTGTGCTCTGCTGTGAAGGCCTGAGATGGGCCTTCACATCTCCACTGGATGCTGCTTATTGTCGGGTATGCCCTGAAAACAGAAGAAGCTGCCTGATGCCAGTTACATGACTTATCCCTCTAGCTGAGGACTGCCTCCACTGATCAGTAACTCCACTGACCAGTAACAGCAGGGACTCAGGCAGAGGACTTTCAGATCCTCTGCTGTTTGGTAGGAATGTGAACTTGGAATCTCCTGAATGCAAAGCAAATGCTGTGCCATTCAGCCTTCTCAGCCTAGGGCTGCCTCTCCAACCTACTGTTTTTGATCCTGATCCACAGCCCTTCTCAGGTGCCTGGCATCTATTCAGCTGGAGAGTCTAAAGACTGACCCTGTGACCTGCTGCATATAAAACATGCCACATCCATGTCCACAGCCCAGTCACATTCTCCCCTCATGGTTGCTTACCCAGTCACATTCCAGGCAGCACATCAAATCCCATCGGACCTGCAAGCTGGGTAAAAATTAAATCCTTTTCCCTGTTGTCAGCAAGCTAGGGAAGTGACATATTTCTTAAACAGAAAATGAGGGTGTCTAAGTCCTGTGTAAAAGCAATGAGCAGTCACAGTGCATTTTTTAAATAACAATTTTTCAAATTGTAATTAAAATTAGGGAAATGGGTCTGAAGGCCCACTCTGGATGGCCACTATGGAATTGGGATGGTCAACCAATGTGCCACACAGAATCAGTGTAATAGGTTTGTTTAAGAAAATAAGAGGCACCATCTCCACACTGTATGTATTCTTCAAGCCCACAGGTGTCTTTACTGTTGGTAGTCTCAAAATATTGAGAACATTACTTGAACAGTTCCTCCACTGGATGAACAGAACACCAAACCAGCACCCAACCAGTGCTCCATTCTCCCTCCACATTCATACTTCATGCTGTGTTCATTTAGTGCTTATAAAATAATCTGAGCAGTTGCTATGAGGGGAGAGCTGAAAATCTGGAATACTATATACAATCCTAGGTCACTATATTTGAAAGAAGTATAGAGAGAGGGCAACCGGAATGATCAGGAGGTACCAGCATGTCTCCTATGAGAAAAGACTAGAACATCTGGAACTTGTTAGCTTAGAAAAAAGGTGACTAATTGAGGCGATTGAGGTGTAAGAATCCTACATGGCATGGAGAATGTGGAAAAAGGAATGTTTTCTCCTTCTCCAAAAATTCTAGGACCCGAAATCATCCAAAGAAAGTGATTGAAGAAAGATTCAGAACAGGCAAAAGCATATAATTAACCAGTGAAATTTATTACTACATGACATGATGATGGCTATTAATTTGGAAGGCTTTAAGCAGGGATTGGGTAAATCTAAATCAGTTATGATCTCCAGACTGGAAGAAAAGACCTCTAAAGACCAGCTACAGAGTAACAATGGTGAGAGAGGTTTATGTTGCTATCTCCCAGAAGCCTCAACCCAAAAGCAGCTGGGCCTTGGCCTAATCCCAGTTCTTGTTTTAATCCCTCCAAGCTCTTTTCTTCCAGTCTAGAGCCAACACTGGAGATGAGGTGATATTAGGGAGAAAAGCATCTGAACATAACACTATTTACATTTTTGGGCTAGTGCCTCTAGTTTCCCCCCCCCTCCCCTCTTGTTTTAAAGTGCTAGGCCTCTTTGAGGGTCATCTCTTTGAAGTCAGTATTTCCCACCTCTCAACAAATAGGCCACAACTTCCCTTGAGACTCACAATATTCATAAAGATGGGAAAAACAAGTTATCAAAAGTTTTTAAATGAAGAACAAAAGTTACAATACAATGTTTTAAAATCCACTGACACTTTCCATTTCTCTTTTGCAAATTTGATATCTGCCAATGCAATGACAACTTTTACAGTTTTCATTCAACAGTAATTCAATCCTGGTTGTCTTGTCTTTGTCTGAAGGTGGAAGCTGAGCCAGGTTGGGTTTAATCAGTTCCGGGATGGGAGACCACTAAAGAATTCCAGGGCTTTAAGACTAGGCTTGAAAGCTGCAAAAAACTCCCAGAAGATGGCAATAGCAAACCATTTCCATATTGTTGTTGGTTGGGACATATCCATGATGTCACCAGGAGCTCAGCTTGACTTGAAGGAGCCCAGTTCAGCATTACCTTTACCTTTTATTGTAATATAAATATTATATTGCAATAAAAGATTATATGTGAAGAAACCCAACATGTGTTGCTTAAAAAGTTCATGTTTACGTGGGTCCTTTGCTTGGATCCAAACAGTCAGTTGAACTCAGAATCTACTTTATAAACACCGTGGTTGGAAAAGGTAATGTTGGGTTAGATGTCTCCATTCCCTACTCTTTCACCCTTCCTTTTCTAATCCTGTAGAAAACAGCACCTAAGGGAGCCAGTCAACAGCTTCTTCTATTCCCTTCCCCACCTCCAATTATCTGAACACTCTTTTTGTGACTCAGGTTTCTTAATTTACTTGTTTTTATAATAATAGTAGACAATACAAAAAATGAAAGTTATGTTGTAAACTTAGACTAAGAGTTTAAAGCAAATTTATATTTATATCTGTTGTAAAAGAAAGTCAGAAATCATTTTTCTTTTGTATTTCTTTTTTTCCTTTTTCTCTCTGCACTTTTTCTCGTTTTCTTTTTCATTCTTCACCTTTTCTCTTTTCTACCTTCTATTTTAATTATTAGTTCTTGTTAATTTTATCTCTTTATTTTAGAAATCTAAAAAAGTTATTAGAAAAAAAGGTTTCTTAATTTACTTGCTAAATGTTCAAGAAAGGCCAAAAAGAAACTTTCCATTTTTAATTCTTTTCCATGCAAAAGAGACAAGCTGAAAAGCAATCATTTCATTAAAGCAACTTCTGTTTGATTATAAGTTTTGGTTGGTTCTTCTTTGTTTCCTCAGCCAAGTGTCCTGAAAAGACCTCTGAAGCAAAGTCTCTCTTATTCTCTGTCTCTTCCTCTGAGACGGTTGTTTTTGTTGCCAAACCATCTGGTCCCGCAGTTAAGTTTCCATGTGAAAGGACCCTAACAGTGCCACATTATAATTAAATATTCTAGAAAATACCTTGGGAGGCTTAGAAGGAGGCTGAGCAGGGAGGGTGGAATCTTATCATGTCAGTTAAATACTAACCACCAATCTGTGATGAAAATCTCTTCCTTGGCTGCTTCCATGGCATTTGCCACATCTTCAAAATACCCCTTGGCATTTACATACCTAGAAGGAACGACAAAATTACTTAAATAGGGAGGACTGGGATTTCCAAAGCAAGAGGCAACAATATACTTTTTCGTTTTTTCTATTGCAAGAATCACAGAAAAGGAGGAAATGCAGAAAAGAAAAAGAAGTGAAAATTGATTAGGGGAGGAGAAGAGCTCTCTGTTAGGAAAGACTGTAGCAATAACTGTAGGACTTTTTACTCCAGAGCTAAAAAGAGGAACAGACATAATGGAAATATGTGAAATCATGCATGGTGTAGAAAATGTGGAAAGTTTTCTCTCATCTCACAGTCTGAAACGATGGGTTCATCCAGTAAAACTAAATACAAAGAAATTCAGAGGCAAAGGAAGTATTGCTTTATCCAATAGATGGTTATACTAGGGAAACGGCTGTCATCAGACATGATAGTGACCAGCAGTTTCGTAAGGGACTTGTACAGTTCCTAGAAAACAGGGCCATCAGTGGCTTGATGGCTACATGTTATCTCTGAATCACAGGCAGAATAATTAAGCATCAGCTGCTGGAGAGCCACAGCAGAAAAGATCCATGGGCCCCTTTTACACACTTTTGAGGTTCTTGGACGCAACTTGTTGTCCACACAAAATGCTGCTGTGCTAAATGGAGACCTGATCCAATTATTATGTTTTTAACAGGGGTGTGATAAACAAGTCAATGGTTAATCGATGTTCTCATATAAATCAGAACACCACCCTCATGGCTACTTTTAAGTAAACAAAAGTACCTTGAAAGTCTGGCTTTATTATCATAATGGAGATTTAAGTCCTTCAAGTGCAGCCCATCCACATTTATAAGTATCTTGAGGACAGCAGTTCTCCCTTGGATACCGGCCACTATACAAGCGCAGAAATGCTAATGGCTTAGACATAAGCACAGATATCAAGGTGGCTATTTCTGCCCCCCTCCCCCCCGCAAAAGCCCTGGCAGAGTTCCTGTGCCACTAACAGTTTGCATTATGGGAAGAATTGCCACAGATGGTTCATCACTAACATAGCCATCTGTGTGTGCATGTGGCAATGCATGTATATATGTGGTAAATGATGATCTGTGCATCATCAATTTGCAAACAACGTGATTTATGTACTTGGGACAGACACGTGACACAAATACATAATTGCTTCATTACTGTGATGCCCGCATGACCATTGTTGTCTTGCTACAGACAACTACGAGCGCTGGATCTGTGTGCTATCAGCGGCTCCTAAAGCAATGGAACATCTTCTCTTACCACTTGGCTAGTGTGTTCTCCTGGATGGCTGCATAGGAACCAAATCTGTGATGTTTGAGGAAGTTCTTGCCATTTTTCTGAATGAATTCTTCTATTCCTTGACCCCACCAGAGAGCATGTCGGTAGCTGTTGCACTTCAAAATCAGTGACCTGGTTGTGTATGGGAAGAAATAACACAGTGCAGAAAGGCATGGAGAAAAGAAAAGAAGAGGAAACTAATATTCAACTTCACCACTTCCTCACTTGCACATGATCATCATTTGCCAGAAGCAACCAGCAGAAGATTCACAACTTGGAAACCACTGAATTGTAATGTTCAATACTGCAGAGGGATATTCCCATGTGGTATAATATGAACTTCTTACCTGGAAAGATTATCAATTCGTAACCCATATTTAGTTTCGGTCTCCTTCTTGCCAATCTTTATACTGAATTCTTTATCTACCAGTAGGACGAAGGAAACAGCTCCACTATCTGGCTTCATGTACAATAAGAAAGAGTCTTTCACCACTAACCACCTGGGAAAGGAATACAAAAGACAGAAAATCAGTAGATTACATCGATAAAACCCTTTTCGATTTATCAGGCATCAGTTCTATTAACATTTAAAGCATCTAAACAATGTTTGCTATAATCAGAACAGGATTTTTCCCCCCAGACTATTCCCAGAAGCAATACAATTTGCTTGCTGCATACTCTGTTCTGTATAATATTTTCTGTGAACTGCTTCACTTAACATATCCATTCTAGGCAAGTTGAAGCATTGTTACAGTTAATCCTCCTCTGAATAGAATGCAAGTAGGCAATTTTCACAATCTAGTTCACTGAGGTGTATCAACAGTTGATAAGCATGGTTAATACCCTCCCAATTTAGAGGTGTGATATTTTGTTAAGTAACACCAATGAATCATCTAAACCAGCTTTGTCTAGCCTGATGCTTAAGACTGGATATTTATATACTCCATTCCCACTGAATTCAACTTACTTTTAGGTTTCACTTGATATACTCTCTGATTCCCATATAACAAAAAATCTAGAGACTATGTAGTCAGCTAAGATATTGTTGTCTGGGCTACTGTATGTATGCAGTGTACTGCCAGATTCATTAAGATCATAACTCCCCAAATTCCCAGCCACTTGGATATACTCTCAGATATGTGTTAATTAAATATCTAAAAGATGCATTCACAGAACATACTAAGTTTGGTTAAAGTTACCCTTTTTTGTTGTTTGATTGTGTCTTAATGTATTGTTTAGCTAGTTGTTTAGTTTATAGTTCCTTGTATAACTCTTTTTTTTGTTTGCCTTTGAGTCAGTGTTGACGCCTGGTGAGTGCCTGGACATGTCCTGCAGCTTTCTTGCAAGATTTCCGAAAGTGGTTTGCCCTTGCCTGCTTCTTCCTAGGGCTGAGAGAGAGTGACTGGCCCAAGGTCACCCAGCTGGCTTTGTGCCCAAGGCAAGACTGGGACTCATGGTCTCCTGGTTTCTAGCTTGATGTCTTAACCACTATACCAAACTGGCTCTTGTATAGTAGAAACCCAGAAAATGAGTTAATTCAGCACCAGGTTCTATAGTCCTCCATTAGGTGTGGAAGCCAGCTGAGTGACCTTGGGCCAGTCATTACCTCTCAGTTCTAATTAGTGTCTACAACAAAACACTTCATTGCATCCTGCGTTGATAACTTTGCTATAAGAACTAGGCGTGCACAGTGTGGACAAGCCAAACACTAAGAAAAACAACAACTGGCTAGGAATTCTGAAATTGGATGTCCCAACATAACAATCAGGGCTGGTAGCACGCTGTGCAAGGCTGGCCGGAAATGACATTTTTATGAATGAATTCTTCAGAAAAATTCTGATGAGGCCACTGTGCTAAGAGGTGGGAGGTTCTAGCCCTGGACAAAACGTCTTACTCAACTAAAAGTAATCCAATTCCCAGTTATAAGGATGTATTTTTGGAAACATGACTGCCTTTTATTACATGTTCTAAAGCAACCCAAAACTGATCTTCCAAACCTGAAGCAGCATCTTTTCTCCCTAAACAATGCAGCTGTCAGAATGTTTCTGCCTTATATTTCTGTGGCCCCATAGAATTCCTCATTATCCCAATTTAATGTGGGTGCTTTTTTGCCCCTTGGACTGGACTTTTTATTGGACTAAAGTTTTTACGCTTGCTCTTTTCTGGTCCTGCATCTGTGAGTTTCTTGAAGGAACTGTCTATGTCTTTTCTATGTCTATTTCTCCAATTTTGTAATTCAAAAATGAAATTTCCCCCCAGCCAAGTGGAGTGGAATATTCCATTCTGACACATTTTCATGTCTATGCAAACCAGGTTGAAATTTTCCTAAGCAGTAATTAGTAGCTAGGCTCTAGAGTGACTCACTGGGTCTTCTGAGCTTCAAGGCTCAGAGTGACTCAGAAAAGACACATTCACTATGGTGTTCTGGTAACATTAAAGCCACCAGGTCAGTCTAGGACTTGCTTCAACAATAATAGTTTTCAATGTTTGTTTGGCTAGTGATTCCTGGTCTTCAACATCTGGACCATCTTGTTTTGAAACGCATATGCCCATCATTATAGGCTCAACACTTTAAAACTCAGAGTTACCATTATGAAAGCTGTTTATAAAAGCCCACTGACTTAATTCCATTAAAGTTTACAAAAAGGAGACCGCAACTTTAAAAGTTTAAAAGACTTCAACTTTGAAAAGATCTACTGTCAAGCAACAGGCTGTGCAGTGGAGAGAGAGAGAAGTTTGAGTGTGTGTGTACACTCATACACACACACATGCACAACTGGGGTAGGAGAAGACGACTGAGCAGATTTTGCTGTGTTCAGTGTAGACTTCCTAAGTGCTGTGGGAGGAAAGGGGAGGAGAATGTCTCCTGCTCAAGCTATTTTTACCATGAGGGTACGCACACACATACTAGGAATACTGAAATGAATGCTTTGCAAAGCCAGTTCTCAAAATGGATGCATTTTTACTCCAGGAGGAGGGAGAATGGTTCACCGTTCTCAAAACATGGCCGGGGAAGAGGGCTTTCTCCAGACTCCTTCATAAGGACTAGTAACACCTTGTCATTTTTTGCTATGTTGCTTTGCCTTTTAATGTTTGATGTTGAGCACTGCTTGGCAGTATTGTTTCTTGATACAGGAAATGACACATAAACAGGGAACAAATCATAAACATCCTCTGGCCACATGCTTTCCCTGCGTGAAGTTCTTAACTCATGAATTCAGAACATGCGTCATGGGAGCCATTCAAACTGTTCCTCCTCACACGCAGGGCCAGAACCGGTGTATTTCTGCACTTCGTCGCTGCAGAGCCATCCGTTTTCCAAATCACCACACGTGCCAGTTCTTCATGCAACCTAGAAGTGCTGTAGTGATGCCATCATTTATAGCAAGGGGTCAAAACTAAGTCTGTTTGCTACTTAGGAAGAAGCATCCATCTGTCAACCACTAACATTTACCGATTCATTGTGGTGTCCTTTTCTGCCGCAGAACAGCCTGCCCCAAATCATTTCTGTATTATGGCCAAGAAAATTAGATGACATATCCATGGAATTACCCAGAGCTGAGCTCAGCGTAAGCTAGGGGGCCCCTGTACAAGATTGTGTGAGAATCTGGGGTAATTGCACAAGATTTTGTGCAGTGCATCAGGTGACTGCCCTGAAATCCTGTGAAAATTGTTACTTTTGTGAGCCTTTAGATAGTATTAATTTCAACTTCAAAATTATTTAATTTCTAGGGGGGGCGGTGAAGAATGGGTGGCATGCTGACTGCACGTACAGCAAGTTCTACTATTTTCGGTCCTCAGAAGACAGCTTTTGTCCCTTTGTTTTTGAAGCCTGAGACTTGATGTACTATAAGATGCAAATGGGCAGCTGAGGACATTCCAGGCTGCTTGCTGGAGACAGTGATTTGACGGTGCCATGTACTCTAGCACATCCAGGACAAAATCTGCATTGTCTTCACACTGCAAATTGAACTGAGATTTTGTGAAGTGTGTCAGGACACCCCAGTGCTTTCCAATGAGAACAAACATCCAGGAACAGTAGGCAGCGTTACCCAGTCGACTGCCAAACTTGTACTGCCTCTTTCTTGAGTCTACAAGGGACAACATTTTTTTAAAGAAAAAAGAGGAAAGAAAAAGGCTCAAGATACTGTGCTATTGAAAAAGAGAAATGCTCAGACAATTTAGGCACTGCTGTGGCCATAACCACGTCCATTCACAGAATAATCGCTTTGAGTCTGATGGGATTTATTTCCCAGTGAGTTTGTTTAGGAGGAAAATCACGAAGCAAAAGATGACCAAGAGTAAAGTGGCACTGAATTTACAGGATTTGAGGAAGGGACAAAACAAACTCAGAGCTCTGAGAGCGTCTTACAAACTGTAAAGTAACTTAAATCCAGGAGAATGTTAATAAGAAGGTTAATATTACTAATGTTACTATTAATAGTAATACAATTTTTGAAAACTACCTATCACCATGAAAGCCAGTTTGGTCTAGTGGTGAAGGCCCCAGGCTAGAAAGCAGGAGACGGTGAGTTCTAGTCCTGCCTTAGGCATGAAAGCCGGCTGG